CATTGCTTTAACGACAAAATCGGCGCCTGCGGCGGGCTCAATGAATAACTTGCTAAAGTTAAGCGCTTGCGGCGTTTTTTGTGTTGTTTTTTATTTTTTTATTTTTTTTTCTTTGTTTTGCTCTCTCTCTCTCTCTCTCTTTCTTCATAGCCCCGCAGACTGACGACGTCCTCGCCGCCCCCTCAGTCTTATCCGCAACTGTGGGGTGCTACGTCTGTATAAATGTTTGTATCTATGTATGCATATGTATATGTATATAAATCGGAGTAGGCCAGGGGGGGGGGGGCGTGGTGCTGCGGGCGTGGTGCTGCCACCGTGCTGCATGGAGGGTGCAGAGGGTCTTGGACGTCTCCGAGGGCTCCATGGCGGCTCTGGGCCTCCTCCCAAACGAGCCTCGACTTTCCAGAAAGGCTTCAAAGGGGACCCAGAGGGCCCCCAAACGCCCCCAGCACGCCACCATTGTTTCGAGACGGCCCACGAGGCTTCCAAGAGGCCCCAAGAGGGCTTCAAACTGCTTTCCGAGAGAGCCCCAACAGGCAGAAATCACTGATTTCCACGTGTGTGTGTTTGTGTGTGTGTGTGTGTGTGTGTGTGTGTGTGTGTGTGTGTGTGTGTGTGTGTGTGTGTGTGCGCGACTTAGCTTCGACCGGAAGAGGTGCGCTTTCGACCCGCGAATCAAAAAGTGTGTGTTTGCGCGTTTCACGGATTTTGCCCTTGTCGCCTGCTCCGCTGCCCAACGCCCAGAGACGGCACAAGAGGCGTTGACGAGGGCCCCAAGACACCACAAGAGGACGCCAAAACGGCCCAAGCGGTGCCCACGATGCCAAATGAGCTTGGACACGCCACAAGGGCCCGCAATGGGGGTCCACAGGGCTCCAAAGCGGCCGCAGCACGCCCACCACTTGCTTCGATACAGGCCACGATTTTTGCCACTTTGGGCCCTCTTGGGGGTCCTTTTGGGAGATTGTTTGGGGACCTCTTGGGCTGTCTTGGGGCCATCTTGCGCGTCTTCGAACACTCTTGGGATGTCTTGGAGACCTCTTGGGCCATCTTGGGCGCTTTCTGGGGCCCTTTTGGCCCGTCTTGGAGCTCTCTGACCTCTAGACAAGTCACGCAGGGCAACCCAGGAACGCGCGGGAACGCCCAGGAAGCTTGAGAATTTTGGACTGCATCCTTTAAACTGTTATCCCAGAACAGGGGACACATGAGGACCTGAAGACAATTCCACGTCGCGCCTCGCAGCATGGTTGCGGGATATGTGTATGTGCATATCTATTTTGTATACACTATGTATGTATGTATGTATGTATGTATGTATGTATGTATGCATGTATGTATGTATGTTTGTTTGTGTGTTTGTAGATATCTAGGTCAAGTCGGTTTTCCGGGGACCAGCCCGTAGTTTAGAGCGTTGGATACCGATCGTTCCGATTTTCGGCTAAAGCGAGTTTGGATGAGAACAGATTGAATCGTGCTCCGCCCGTAATCCATCGTTGCTCAAAAGGAGTTGAAGATGGTAGCGGAGCTGGACTAGCTCCAGCTCCCGGTCCCGCCCCGCAGTCTCTGCTCGGGCGCGCGCGATATCCCGCCAGGCGGCAGGCGAGAGAGAGACACTACGAAGCAGGCCGAGGGCTTCGAGCTCATCGGCGAGGAGGGCGCGGCCTGGAGGAGGCTTGTGCTCAAGGCAATCAAGATCAAGAGGCTGAAAGGCTACTGGTCACAGCTCGGACAGTACCTGAACTACGTGAAGAACGTGAGAAGCAGAGATCAGGCATGGCGCTCAATCAAAAGACGTGCAACGAGATGCAGAACGCAGTTCGACAAGCGCAGGCAGCCATAGGGTAACTACAACGGCAGAGCGCGGAGCTGCGTCAACAAGCACAACATAATCAACAGGCAGGTGGACCTGAGATCATCAGAAGGCTCGGCGAAGTGGTCGAGCGGCTGAACCCACCAGAGCAGGCGGCGCAGCGGATTCCTCAGCTGATCCAAGCGAAAGACATCGGGAAGCCGGCGATGTTCAAGAACGGAGAAGGTTGCTTCAGCGAGTGGTTGCAGAAGCTCAACAGTTACGTGGTCAGCGTCTTCGGGGTTGGCTTCAGAGCAGTGATCGAGTGGGAAGTCGATCAGGCGAACGATTCAGTGGTTTTGACGACGGCGACTGCGGTGGTCCAGTTCGTGGACGAGGCGATCGACGGTGAAGAGGTCGACGCGATAGACGAGAAGCTCTCCCAGCTCCACGCGCTGTTCATCTCGCAAACGGAGGGAGAGTCGTTCGATCTGGTGGTGAGTGCAGGTCAAGGCAACGGCGCAGAGGCTCTACGCTTGCTGGTGCGTCGGTGGGATCCGACGAGTGGCGGTCGCTGCAGGGTGCTGCTGAATAGATCATGGCGCCCAACCGTGCGGCGAAGCTGGAGAACCTGGCAGGCGAGATCGTGAAGTGGGAAGAGCTGATCAGTCGCTACGAGGGAGCGCGATTACACGGCCGAGACGTTCGACTGGACGACGAGATCAAGATGAGTGCACTCGAGAGCTTGGTTCCGCAGGACGGCGAGCTCCACCTCGCCCTCAACCGCACGCGGCTGCACGAGTATCCAGCCAGGAGGGAGGAGGTGCGCAGCTTCCTGGAGACCCGGCGGGCACAGGGAGCTCTCGGTCGAGCTCGAGGAGATCCGATGGACGTGGATGCGTTTGTCAAGGGACATTCGAAGGGAAAGGGCAAGGACAACGAGGGGAAAGGACGCGGCCCCAAAGGCAAAGCAGCAGGCGACTCAACCGCGACCTGCTGGAACTGCGGACGAAGAGGACACCGAGCATCCGAGTGCTGGAGACCGAATGAGAAAGGCCAACGCAAAGGAAACCAATACCCAAAGAAAAGCGAAGGAGGCCACTGCAACAGCCAAGGAGGAGGAGGAGTCCGCAGAGGCTACCTCAACAATTTTGAGGAGACGATCAGCACGGTCAGCACGCAGCTGCCTTCGTCGGCGTCGCAGGCGGGCCCGAACGCCAGCTTGAGCTTCGACGCGTTGGAGAGGGTCGCAGAGCTCAGCGGCGCGGAGGCCAAACCCGACAGCAAGCGCTACAGGAAAAACGTCGCGATGACGTTCGACGCGGGCGCGGCGGCCACCGCGAGTCCGCTTGGCCAGGAAGGCGACTGCGACGAACCCGCGGCAACTACTACCGCACCGGCGAGATCGTGGAAGACGAAAGGGGCATGTATGTGTGTATGTATGTATGTATGTATGTACGAATGTAGGTGTGCACTTGTCTATGTATATATATATATATGCAATGTATGTATGTACGTATGTATGTATGTATGCATGCATGCATGCATGTATGTATGTATGTATGTATGTATGCATGCATGTATGTATGTATGTATGGATGTGTGTGTATATATATATGTGTGAATTTGTATGCGCAGTAGAACCAAGCGCGAGCTTCGCGCGCGCATAGGTTCTACCAAGGTATCGTTGTAGTCTAAGTATTTGGTGTCGGAGGACATACGGTGTCACGCGGGTCGTGCCCCTTCGGGGACTCCACCGACGGCCCCAGACACAGGCTTGGCTTAGCGTCCCCCCGCCCATGCCGGCGCACCCCTCCAAGACATCGCGCCCCGCAGGGATCTCCACCCACGTCCCCAGAAGCAAGGTTCGCAGAATGGTATTCCCCTCGCGCGGATCGTGCCCAGCAAGTAGTTGCATTTGTGACACCAGAGGGATGTTTCATAGTGTCGCCTGGCTTACTTCGGCACGCCTCTCACAAAGAGGTCCACGGACGGTCCCAGAGGCAAGGTTCGTATGCCCCCCCTACTTCGGCACACCTCTCGCACGGATCGTGGCCCACAGGGGTGTCCACCCTTGGCCCCAGCGTGGTTCGCATTGTTCCCCCCCGCCCATTGTGGCACACCCTATCACGCGGATCGTGCACACAAGGAACACCACCTAAAGGCCCAGAGACAGAGACAAGGTTCGTACAGCGCCCCCAGCCCATGTCAGCACACCCGCGCGAATCATGGCCCAGAAGGAGTTCCACCTATTGCACCAATGGGCAGCTTCGCATGGCGTCCCCACGCCCATTTCGGAACATGCGTCGCACGTGTCGTGCCTGGTTGAGGTCCACCTGCGCCCTCAGTGGGCGTGTTCGCGTGGGGCCATCCGACTTAATTCGGCACACCCTTCACGCGGATCGTGCCCCACAACGAATTCAGCGCACTTGTGCACGTGTGCTCCGCAGCAGCCCGCTTTCCGCATTGCCCCGCGGCGCGCAATGTATGAAGAGAGACCCGCGCCCTGCGCTACGTGCTACACATGACTGCATATGGATAGGTCCGTCGCCAAACTGATTGCTTGCTTCTCTATGGCCTTCGCCCCGTGCCGCCACCGTGCTCGAGTCTTGCGCCAGAGGACTCTGGATACCTGTGAATCGTCAGGGCTCTGTCGTGTGCTCCTCGGTGGCTGGCTCCCGCACGGCGCCGGCGCGAATCGTGACGCGACCAGAGGGTGCGGGGGAGGCAGGGCTCGTTCCGATTCCCCCGATTCGATTCGATTCGAGATCGATGGCTTCCGATTCCGAATCGATTCGACTTCGGATTCCGGTTTTGATTCCGATTTATCGTTGGAGGCAGACGAGCCTGCCGATTTCCGCCGATTCGACTTTTCCCAACTTGGCTGCCGATGTCCGCCGATCCGATTCATGCTGATCGCCGGTACGACTTATCGATTCGATTCTGGGCTCGCCTGGGGAGGGGGGGCCAGTCCTGGGCGCTCTCGCGCGTAAGAAGAGACGAGATCAAACCAAGGGCGCCCTCGAGGGCGCGAAGGTATTCGCCCGTCGCGCTTCGCGCTTCGCGGTTCGGCTCCGATTCCTCCTCCTCCTCCTCCTCTCGTCTCCCCCGGGAGGCGGCGCGAGCGCGCGCAAAAAGCTCTTCGCGCCTCGCGCTCTCCGCGCCGCGCGAAGCAGCGCGGAGCTGGGAGCCCCCGTTGAGAGCCCCGCAGGCGGGGCACAAGGCGCGCGCCGAGGCGGTCAGGAGGCGCAAGGCCCTCGCCGGCGCCGCCCCGCAGTGAGGGTCCCCCGCCTCGGGCGCCCGGGGGCGCCGCGGGCGACGCGGGCGCGGCTGCCCCCGCCTGCGGTGTCAAGGCGATCATCATCACCATCCCTGCGGCGAGACCCCCTCGCCCTCTCCTCTCCTCTCCTCTCTTCTCCTCTCCTCGCCCTCTCCTCTCCTCTCCTCTCCTCTCCTCGCCCTCTCCTCTCCTCTCCTCGCCCTCTCCTCGCCCTCTCCTCTCCTCTCCGATCCAAGCTCGGCGACTACAAAGTGCCCACGGGTGTGGTTGCGTCGGGATGTGGTTGGCGATCGGTGCTGTTGGGACTTGGGGGTCACGACGTTGCCCTCGTTGGGCCTCCTCGGGGCACGGCAGAGAACTCTGCCGAGGTCCTCGCCCGCCTCTCAGAGTGCGGGTTGAAAACCACGCCTATTGCAAACCACACCCGTAGGAGTCGCCGACCCAGCCTCTGGGTCAAGGCGATCATCAACACCACCCCGGCGGCAAGCCCCCCTCGATGAACAACACATTGAGTAAACATAAACTTTCTGAGCTCCGCGTGGATATCTTGGATCTGCGCTGGGCCCTCCTCGACGGCGCCTCTGGCGCCGCCCCTGGCGCGCTCCGTGCGCCAGGAAGGGGGTCCAGCGCCGATCCAAGACATCGGCGCGGAGCTCCGAAAGTTTGTGTTTATGCCGTTTGTTTCTCTCTGTATGGAATCGACCGTATCTTCGTTTTTCTACTATCCAATCCCATCCTGTTCCACTCTCGCCAATCCTCTTCCGCATGGCCTGATCTTGGCGCCCCTCTTTGGCAGCCGTGCCGCCCACTTAGCCTTTCAGAGTTCGCCCGTGCTGGACGAGTCATGGGTTCTGGCGCTTCTCCCCCCTTCCCTCGTGCTGGGCAGAGACATCCTGCAGGCATCCGGGCAGGGCCCGGGTCCGGGCCGTACCCAGGAGCGTCCTTCGGGTGGGGCGGGCGAGAGGGCTGCAGAGCCAGCCTGGACTGGGGGGGCAGAGGAGGAGGAGGAGGAGGAGGAGGAGGAGGAGGAGGAGGAGGAGGAGAGGAGGAGGAGGAGGAGGAGGAGGAGGAGGGAGGAGGGCCTGGACTGGGGGGGAGGAGGAGGAGGATGGCGGAGGGAGGAGGAGGAGGAGGAGGAGGAGGAGGAGAGAGGAGGAGGAGGAGGGAGGAGGAGGAGGAGGAGGAGGGAGGAGGAGGAGGAGGAGGAGGAGGAGGAGGGAGGAGGAGGAGAGGAGGAGGAGGAGGAGGAGGCGGATGCAGAGGATGAGGAGGAGGAGGAGGAGGAGGAGGAGGAGGAGGAGGAAGAGGAGGCATAGGAGGAGGAGGAGGAGGAGGCAGAGGAGGAGGAGGAAGAGGAGGAGGAGGAAGAGGAGGAGGTGGGGAGCGCCGCCCGCCTCCGTCAGGTTTCCCTTTTCAACAGGTGCTGATCTGACTATCAGATTCTTCATCGCGTCGTGGCGCAGGAGGATGATGATGAGGAGGAGGAGGAGGAATCGGAGGAGGAGGAGGAGGCGGAGGAGGAGGAGAGTGAGGAGGAGGACCGGAGCAAACCTTCCTGGCCCGGGTCCCCTCCTCCTGCGTCCCTGCAGGCTTTCTTTTTCTTGCTACCAGAAGCGCCCCCTGTGAAAGACCAGCGCAGTTTGGGCCTGCCATTCTGGCGAGGTCCCCGTTGTGAGAAGGAGCTGCCTTGCACTGGCCCGCAATCAGGAGCGCGAGAGACGCATGATCATACGATTCAGCGAGGTGTCCATCGAGATTTCCCTTTCGAAGACGGACTGCAGTGCCACGGGTGTTGAGATTCTGGGTCTTCAGATTGAGCAACGCCTCGATCGAGAACTATATTTTGGAAACGAGCACCCCTCTATGCTTCTTGATGTCTCATTTGGAGAAATGGATTTTTGCGGCGCTCAGGCGACAGCACCACTTTGCAAACAACCAGTGAGAACAACCTGTTCTGCGCAATCCTCGCAGCAGTTGTCAGATTTTGAGGGGGCTATTGCGCGACGCTAAGGCGAGAGCGCAACTTTAAGAAGGAGCCTCCCTCCATCCTTCAAACTGCGGCAACATGTCAGAACGAACGTGCGCGGCGCTGCGGCGAGTGTACAATTTCGAACACGACATCCCTTCGATTCTTGAGTCTGCTGCAAACTTTAAGCCGAATGTGCGCGGCGTTGAGGCGCGACACGCATTTTGAAAATGACCTGTGCTCCATCCCTGAAGCAATTTCAAGACTTGAGCTGAATGTGTGCGGCGCTGAGGCGAGAGCCATATTTTGAGGGGGAGCCGCCTCCATCCTTGAAGCTATTGCCAACTTCGAAGACGAACGTGCGCCGCGTTAGTGCGAGGGCCACATTTTGCCCCTCCCCTTCCCTCCTCCCCTCCATACTTCTAGCTGTTGCACGCTTTCTAGAGTGATGTGCGCCGCGCTAAGGCGAGAGCCACATTTTGAACACCATCCCCATCCATCCTTGCCGCTGGTGCAAGCTTTTATGACGAATGCATTCGGTGCCAAGCGAGAGCCACATTTTGAACACGACCTGTGTTCCATCCTTTAATTTGTTGCAGGCTTTTATGACGAATGCGTTCAGCGCGAAGCGAGATCCACATTTTGAAAACGACTTGTGTTCTATCCTTGAAGCGGTTGCCAATTGCATGTTTCAGGGTCATAAGCAATGGCTCGAAAGTCTCATGAGACATGCCCAGCCCGCCCTACGGACACGTCTGGAGGTAAGACAAATGGACGAGGACCAACCTAAATCGAAGATGCATCAACGATGCTGCTGAACTCCCACTGTCCCAAGTCTCAGCTGTAAGTACATAGAATAATATCTGTTCACAGGGAAATATCCCCTTGAAAGACGAACGCCACATGGTCCTGTAATTCAGGCGAAAGCCCCGTGTTGCAAAAGAGTTGCCATCCGTGCTTCTAGCTGTAAGGAAGGCGACGAGGTAGAAGTAACAAGTCCAGCGAAGATCCCAGCTTTAGTCCCGATTTGAAAAAGAGCCGCCCTCCATCCGTGCAGAGGTGTTCTTCAGGTTTAGAGTCTTGATCACAGTGAATAGGGAAGTTTCAAGCGAAGATCTGTTTTGAAAAGGGACCGCCCTCCATCCGTGTAACTGCTGGGCGCTTTTAAGACGAGTGTTTGCGGCGCAAAGGCGAGCGCCACATTGTGAAAACGACCCCCTTCCTTCTGGGTAGCTGCTGGAAGCTTCAAAGTAAACGTGCACGTCGCTCAGGTGAGAGCAACATTTTGAAAACGACCCCCTTGTTGGAAACGTCTGAGACGAATGTACATGGCGCTATGGCGATAACCACATATGAAGACGACTTGTTCTCCATCCGTTTGAGCGTTGGAATATTTTAAGACGAATGCGTGCGGCGGTAAGGCGGAATCCAAACTTTGTCCCCCTCCATCGGTATAGCTGTAGGAACCTTCCAAAGGTCATACACGGAAAGGAAGTATTAGGCGAAACGTCTAGCCCGCCCTACTGACACGCCTGGTGGTCAGACGGGGAGAAGCGATTTACACTGGAAAGTGATGGAGGTGGAGGAGGAGGGAGGACGAGCGGATTTCCAAGGGGAATGTCGACAATGGCGTGCGACGGCTGGCGTGCGGGAGGAGGAAAGGCAAGGCAGAGAAGGATGATGCTGTTGCTGCTGTTGATTGGTGAGGATAACGCTGCTGCTGTTGATCGTGGTGGTGGTGGTGATGATGACGACGACGACGATGATGATGATGATGATGATGACGATGATGATGTTGATGATGATGCTGATGATGATGATGATGATGATGATGATGATGATGGACGGTTTATGACTTATGATTGATGGTGATGGTGATGATGTTGTTGATACTGGTGCTGCTAATGTTGTTGATGATGCTGATAGTTGTGGTGGTTGTGGTGATGGTGATGGTGATGGTGATGGTGATGGTGATGATGATGATGATGATGATGATGATGATGATGATGATGATGATGATGATGATGATGATGATGAGGATGATGATGATGATGCCGAAGAGGAGGAGGAGAAGGAGGAGGACGAGGGGCCTCGCTACGGCATTGCTCTATGGTTTCTGCGGGGTGCGCGCAGGACGAGCGGGACGGGTTCCGCGGGCGCTCTCGTGCGACGCGGCGTCGACCGATCAGAAAGCAGACGAGCGGGGACCTCTGCGGCTTTGGCTCGGGCCGGCCCAGGCGCTCTGGTTTCCCCCCCCCTCCCTCCCGGAGCCTTAGTCCTCCATTCGTCCGGGGGATTGGCAGAACCCCCAATTTGCCAAGTGGATCAGCGAATCCGGCCGTGGGGCCGATCTTTTGTTTCTCGAGCTGGTGATGCAGCCGCCATCTTTGCGGGCCTGCGTCCGCGGGTATTGGTCCCCAGGCCGTTTCCACTGAAGGGGGCCCTCCCACGGGCCCCCAGGACCGTCAAAAAGCGGCTGTGAATTCCATACAGCTGGTCCCGAGCTCTGGAGTCCAGGACCCGCTCTTTCCAGGACCCGTTCCCTGCATGCCAAGTTCGGCATGTCGGGCGCCAGCGCCTCTGGCGGTGCCCCGCCCACGCGGGTGATCCGCGTCGCGGACGCCCGCAGCCGCGTGGTCGCGCTGCAGGAGCAGGCCACCTCTCGCGCCCTGCTGCGACCTCGCCAGGTCGCGCTGCTCGCCGGCGGCGGGGACGCCGAGGCAGCGCCGCCGGCGCCAGCGGCAGCGCCCCGGCCCGCATCGGCGGAGGCAAAGGGGGCCGACAGCCCAGGGGCGGGCACTACACGCATTCACCAGGGAGCCTCGTCGAAGCCATGGGCGGCCGACACACACACACACACACACACACACACACACACACACACACACACACACACACACACACACACACACACACACACACACACACACACACACACACACACACACACACACACACACACACACACACACACACACACACACACACACA